CCCGCAGACAGTTTAAAAGCTTTCTATTTACCTTTCACACCATTCTCCCATTTTCAGGTCACAGAGTGGGATGAAGGTGAGTGTGTGTGAGAGAGAGAGAGACAGACAAAGAGTGAGACAGAGCTCTGTAAGTCCTCCTGTGTGGGTGGACAGCTGGTCCAAAACAGGCGTTTTAGTCTCTAACAAACCGTGACACGTCAAACATGTAATGTAGACCGCTACACAGCAACATGTAAAATGCCTCATTGACTCCCACCCAAGGCCTTGGGGAAAAGAAGAGAGAACAAAAACCGTCTTTGCTCAATCACAAGGGATGGGGAGGAATATGATTGTCATAAATTGAGCAAAATAAATGCACAGAGGCAAGTTCCTGGCTTTAAAAACCGGAATCACCTCAGGATAGCTTGGCTTGTGGAACAAAGGTGCAGAGATGTAACCTGTGATGGATGAATGTGTTTACCTCGCTCTGTCTCGCTTCCCCCTCTGTTTTGAATTTATTCTTCTGGGCTTTTGCCAGGATGCATGTCAGTTATCAGACTTTCTAGATGCCATCATACGTCTGCTCTTTCATATGTCTGTCATCTGGATCTTCTTTCCCTCTGTGTTTCCCTTTAGTAGCTTGCCTGTTTTCTCTTTCATCACTTTCTCCCCAGCATAGGTTGAACGCAAACATTGGCAAGACTGACAAGCAGAAAAAAAGAGAAACGGTGAGTGCGGGGGAAAGAAAAGCACAAGGAAAGAAAAACAAATGTTTTTCTGAAGCTATAAGGCCTGATTTGAAAGATTAGACGCTGAAGTCTTCTTCTTGGTCTTGTAATATATAGGGGATTTAGATTTGAGCCTGCTAACCGAGCCTCAGAAAAAACTGAGCCTTAACAATTTCATCAGCTTTTCTTTAGACCAATTTTAAGATGATAGGAACGTTTTAGGTTATAAAAGAGGGACATCTGCACTCTTGTCCTACACATTAATTTATAATCATATTTTACATTATCTCTCATCATCTTACAAATGAATGAACTGAAGGTATTCCAATCAGTTTTACACTGGATATTGTGGATATTGGGCAAAGTTTCAAAAGGCGAAAAGCATCAATGCAGTGGGATGTTACTACGAGTCTGCTGGCAGTGTGTGAGTGATGTTCGAAAGTTGTCTGCTGTCACATCAACCATGTGAAGATGATAAGTTGACACAGCAAAACAAGGCTTGAGTTTGTTTCCGAGGTCAACATTTTAAAACCTTTAACGCCATGTCACTACTTTCCATGGACAGGTAATACTTTTGTGAGATACGTACACAAACATACTCAACCATACAACCCATTCAACCATCAGATGAATGAACACCCGGCCCCTTTTTCTCCCTAATTGCTTTTGAAAACATGTCAGGGAGCTGAGCAACATGGGGAATGACAGCTCCCAGTGTTTTCCTAAGGGACTAAGTCAACATGATGAGACAGTGACATGAAAGAGCTCACACACCTCTGCGGTTTTGCTCACTCACACGGACGACCGATTGATTAACTCATAAATCAAACTCATCCCAGGCCCCGGGCCCTGGAGTGCCTCCCCACTAACCCCCCCCAAAATAAAAAACAACGCTGAGAAGCTGCAGCCCAACCCTGCACCCTCCAGCTAAGTAAGTGGAGGCGGGATGTTTCAGCTCATGGCAGAAACCCAGCAGCAGGGAGAGGCCAGGTGGGGCAGGTAAAGTGGGCGCTATGGAGTCAAAAAAAAGGGTGGGTCATGGAAACGACAGCAATAGGATTAGTATGTGTTATTATAAAGACAGGGAGGGATAGAGAAAGAAAACTTAGAGGGGCTTAAAGAGGGATACAAATGTGTTAAAAAGACAAAAGAGAAGATCTGAATCAAACGTTGTGTAGTGCTGCCAAAACCGAGAGAAACACAGAGAGACAGATATGGAGAGAAAGAGGGAGAGAAAGCATAGAGGAATGCAGTAAATCCCTAAGAGACTGAACAATCCTCTGGAGAAAGAAAAGAGGAATTTTTATGTGCTGCAGGTGAGCAGAACAGAGAGGGAGGGAGGGGAGAGGGAAGAGGAGACGAGGAGATAGACAGATGGAAAAAGGCAGAGGGAACACGGGGGTGGCCGAGGGAATTTGAGGAAAGCGTGAAAGGGTTTGATTGTAGCAGAGAAAAGGGGACACATGGGGAGAAAATTAAGCAAAAGTGACACAAAATGGCTACTCGTGCAGTTTGAGACAGGATGGACACGGTGAAGGAAGTCAGAGAGACATATGGGAAAAAGATTGGGAGACAGAGTGTGACCGAAAAAATGATAAATAGGAGAGTGTAGTGAGAGACAGACAGAGAGGAAGAGGAGGTCCATAATGACCCGACGAGAGCATCTGCCGATCTTAAAGGCATACACAGGTTTTTGGGAGATTGGTCCGCCATTAGATCGCACACACACAAATCCTCACATGACACATATAATGTTAAATATTATAGAAAGATAACGTTTCATAGTTTTAGGTTTGTAATAGGAAAATATTTTTACGGCGGATGTTACTGCATTGAAACAAGGCAACACTCATATCATTTTGACAGATTTGTGACTTTCTATATATTTGGTATAGATATTTTCTTGAGTTACTTGAACACAGAAAAACAGCAAGAGGAAGTGTTAACAGGTGTTTTACACCTCACATCATGTACAAGCATAACTGCTTTTAGCAACCTATTTAAGGTTTCCTTTAAGGGATATCTTCAGTGTTCAGTGTTAGTTTAAAGTGAAGCTTAACGACAGTATTTACATTATGGCCATCATTCTTAATTATATATATTTAAAAAGATTTCCCTTCAGGAAAGAAGCCATTCAGTGGCATGAATCAGAGCTGTAACCAATTTAAAATATTTAATTGCTGCAATTAAAAAAATAAAACTCTTTGACACAGTTGCTGAATTCATCCAAAATGGACTCAGTGAACTGCTGCTCAATTCAGTTCAGTCACTTTATTATTCCAGATGGAAAAATTGCATCCAGGTGAACAACATTCAAAATGGTTTTATGAGCGAGTCCAAACATATAAGAGATCTGAAGATGTGATACAGTGGGTGAAGACACAGGCTCATCATTGCTATAGAGCTGGAGCATCCCAATAGTTCTGTGTTCATACATGTATAAACACAGTTAAATTGGACACAAAATGTGTATACGACCACCATTTTCATTGTTTTCCAGGAACAATTACTATTTGTCATTACTACGATTGGTTACAACCATCGCAATACACATCTATCAGATCCAAAAAGGTGCTCTCTGAAAGGAAATCAAAGTTTTTCAACAAGTCGGAGGTCGAAGGTCTTATAATCGGTTGGCGCCTTGCTAGATGGCAGCTTTTCATCTTTTTTTACCACTTTATTCTATTATTTGTGCATTTCCTTTCGCAATTGTTCATTCTCTTTTCCACTTTTTAAAGTATTTTAAGTATTTGTATTTTCTGAACACACATCTGCTTCTGTAACGAAATCATTTCCCAAATTGGGATCAATAAAGTATCATCACGGCCTGCCAGTCGAACATAGCTCTTTCTGTCAGCAGCTGCCTGATAAATCGAACAAGCCAATAATGTTGATGCTTGTCACTCACAGTATCAGTTATATCAAAGACGTAGCCATCTGACTCATTCAAACAGGGCTCAGCAATCCTGTTACGTATTAGTTACAGCAATTTGTCTCTGCTTCGCTGGAAGAGAGAGAGAGACAGAAAGAGAAAACGAGAGGTGACGCTGAGTGATGGCTGTTACATAGCTACGCATGACGAGCCTAATTCCAACAAACTTCTGAAACATAGAGATAATGATTCACACACGAGCTGCACTTGCGAGCCCACACTCGGGCAAACAATACACACACACACATACACACACACACCACAAACACACACAGACCATACAAAGCTTCCTTTGTTGACTACTCGCGGACCCTCAGTCTTTGCTTACTGAATGTAAAAAACATACAGCATCTTGTGTATGTGTGTCAGCGTTAACCCTTTCCCCCACTTAGTGAGAGTGTGTGTGATGTGTCAGTGTTGACTACATCGACATCCCATAAAGGTCACATCCTGCTCAGCTCATGCTGTGTTTTAAGGTGTGCACTTATTTGTCAGCATATGGTCCACATTTGTGTGTGTGTGTGTGTGTGTGTGTGTGTGTGTGTGTGTGTGTGTGTGTGTGTGTGTGTGTGTGTGTGTGTGTGTGTGTGTGTGTGTGTGTGTGTGTGTGTGTGTGTGTGTGTTTCATGGCGGGCGTGTGTCGTTGTGTGCAGGTGTGTACCTCGGAGGTAATGGAGGGGATATTCTCATTGATCCTTTAATATCTGGCCTGGGGCAAGAAGGGGAGCCAGGGAGCTGCAGAGTATGTGGGAAAAAAGCGTATTCGGGAGCAATAAAACCAAAATAAAAAAAGAGTGAAAAATGATAACAGGTAAAGAAGCTGAACAAAGAGTATGACACAAGAGTACACATTATAAGAGTGACAAAGATTGAAGACACAACAAGAGAGCCGGCGGTCGGGGGGATTATGATGGGCTGTGTTTTACCTGTGCTTGTTTCATGTAAGTCCCTCACTGTCACAGGTCAGAGGGATGTTTTTTTGGGGAAGAGGATCTTCGTGAGATAGCGTGATGAGAAAAGAAAGCTAAGTAGGAGGAGGGTTGATGCAGTGGGAGGTGGGAAGACAGAGATAAAAGGAAAAATGAGAGATCGTAAATTTTCACCAGGGCAGACAAATAAAAACTCTCTCATACCCCGCCTCTCTCGCTCTATTTTTTTGTCACGAATGTGAGCTGTCCTTTGTTTTCCGCCCCAACCCCAAACTCCTCTCCCCTTGTGCCAATCACCCGAAACCATCCCCATAAAACTGAAACCATTGCAAACTAAAATCCCATAAGTATTTCTTTTTTTTCCCTCCTCCCAATGGGCCCCCCAATGACCAATAACACTGCGCTCTGTACAAAAGCTATATTTATTCTCTCTTGAGTTACAATACAGTATATTCACAGTGGAGAAAAATAAATAAACATCTTTTTCAATAAATATTATAAAGATATAACCTTTAGCCACATCATCTAAGGCACATTGTAAAGACAGAACAATATATTGTTTCTGAAAAACAAATTAAGCAAGCTGTAATTAACCAACAGAAAAAGTAACCGGTTTCATGTTTTAAAAAGGAACAAAAAATACACATCTAATGCTTGGTATTTAGAGTGTGGATTTACTTGTGGAGGACAAGTTTGACACTTTTGCTTTATTTCTGAGAATCAGAAAATAAGATCAATACCAATTATAATTTATATATATTCCGTACACAAACATAAATGCAAAAAATATATTTTGTTTAGGAAATCTCATGCCACCTGCCCACCGCAAGTGTAAATGACCACATATTCAAAGTTTCATGGTTGTATGTGGCCGACGTTAATTTTACATGACTTTTGTGTGCTTTACATTTTTTGACATTATTTGGTAAATAATTATCTTTAGAGGTGCCGGGAGGTGGATTCTGCCTCCTTTGGAATGAGCTGAGCTAGCAGTTTCCCTCTGTTTCCAGTCTTTGTGCTAAGCTAAGCTAACGTTCTCCTGCTCTTCATTTTTAGTGAGTTATCTCTATCTGTTCTCAGCAATAAAGCAAATAAGTGTATTTCCCAATGTATGTCAAACTATTTCCTTATAAACTGAACACAGCAAGTGTTATTTTCTTAGTGAAATGTATTCTATTCTATAAGACTTTAAGACTGTATTAAATATGTGTTGCTATGGACTGAATTCAATAAAAAAAAGTGTACAAATAAGTGAGTACTTAATCAGAAGCAGCATAAAAGTGAATGGTTTGTTAAGGCACAAAATACAAAAGTAAGTGTGTGTGTGTGTGTGTGTGTGTGTGTGTGTGTGTGTGTGTGTGTGTGTGTGTGTGTGTGTGTGTGTGTGTTGCTGTTGTACAGTTACTGTAACTGACCGGCTGACATCAGATTACTCAGCAATACTCCTCAGTCAGCTTTTTCCAGCTCTCATCCCCTGCCTGACTCACGTCTCATCCCGTCTTCCTCTCTTTTTCTTGCCCCTTTGTCTCCTCCTCTTCATCGCTCTGGTCATTTCCTCCTCTCCCTTTGTCATTTACCCATTCCGAAAAGTTCTTCCTTTCGAGAAAATGAATGTTTGCTGATTCATACATCTGGTGGTCACCGAATCCGGTTTCCCTCAATGCACTGTTTGTCTCTCTGCCCGTCACCCGGTGTATCTGTATGAGTGTGTGTGTGATTGTGTGTGAGTGAGTGTATCCACCTACAGTGGTATTTCTGTTGATCTGTTTCTGTCCGGTAACCCAGCTCAGTCTCAGTGTGTCTCGCTCAATGAGCTGTTGTACATCAGGCGGGTGACAGTGCTGGTAATGTGTTGGCTTTGTGTGTGTTATATTCCATTAGCGCCTCTGGAGACCTGCCAAATAGTGCTTCATTGACTTATTCCAGTACAGTATGAATGAATGTGTTAACCATGAATGTGTTTATGTGCTTTTGCCTGTTAAAGGAACGCTTCAGCCTCAAAATGATTATTTGAATGTCAGTTACTTATCCCGTGTGCATGCCTCTACACTGAACATAGAATCCAAAAATGGTTTCAAAGTCTCAGAGAACTTGTGCAGAATACATTTCCAGTTTTAGTTGGATACAAGAAAATGTGATTAAACTGTATGAATTTTGTGAGAGTTTGTAAATGAATGGTTTGATATAGTTTTGCTGTTGTTAAACACAGTCCCAGTTTAACTCAATTCATCAAGAATTTTCTCATTTTTTTTAGATTCTGCTTTCACCATAAAGGCATGCAAGAAGAACTAGGTTTTCTTCAAGTATTTAAGGTACGGGGTAAGTTATTAATTACAAATGGTCATTGGAGTAGTCCTTTAAAGCTCTCGATGTGGATCCACTCAGACGTTGGGCAAACAACAGATCTCTTAATGTACTTCTGTGTCTCATTGTCTCAGCCTCTGAGTCTCCTCTTGAGGCGGTTAAAGTCCTTCGCCGACCGCCACAACCAACTCTGCAGCTCTCTCAATATCCAAAACCCCTCCACCTTCCTGGCAAAGTCGTTCATCGTGGGCCGCACCGACAAGAGGGAAGCGGAGGCAGAGGAGGTGGAGGAAAGGAGCGGGGTCAGAGGAGGCGAGAGGAGGGACGTGCCCCTTTGTAACGAGAGAGGGACAGGCTGGGAGAGGAGGGTGTGCTCCTCACCCGCTCCGAACTGGTAGAGCAAGGAGAGGGTGGACAGGGGAGGTTGGAGGGAGGGGGAGAGGAGAGAGCGAGGAGGCCGACGCTGATGATGGATGGTGGAGGAGTACGAGATAGCCTCCATGTTTGTTTGCTTCTCCTCCTCCGCCGTTGCTCCTCTGCTTCTCTCTACAATAAAGCCATCCTCCTTCCTGAGTGTGTCCATGTGAGGAGAGTTCATGTTGTAGCTGTATTGATGGTCAGTGTTTTCTGTGCCAGGCGACTCTTCCCCCCTGGGTTCAGACTTCCAGTCCTCTCCATCCTCATTGACACTCAGCAACCTTCTCGTCCCCCATCTCTCCTCACCTCCGTCCTGCTCCACCTCGTCCACTTCCTCACTGTCGATCCTTTTCCCGTTCTCCGGCTCTTCCCTCCTCCCTCTCCTCCCTCTTCCTCCTCTTCCCCTCTCCCTTGATCCACCACTTCTTCCTCCAGCGGCGGTCGTCTCTGCTCTCCTCCCCTCTTTGCTTCTCCTTTTCCCCACCAGGTCTACGGTGACGCCATCCTCCCTCTCTGCTGTCACCGCTCTTGTCCCGCTTCTTCTCTGGTTGTTACCACGACTAGACTCTGTCCTGGTCCCGACTCTGGCCCTGTAGAGGCTCTGGCTCATCAGTGGAGCAGGTCGGGAGCCCGCCCTCTGAGGGAGCCCCAGCTCTCCAGCGTTACTATCCATGTTTGCAGTCGAAGGAGGTAGTGCGTAACCGAGGGTGGTCATCAGTGCGGATATGGAGCCCAGCAGACCATCCAGGCCGGTGCAAAAGTGCAGCAGGGAGGTCTTGAGGGAGGGGCAGAGGGTGGAGCGGGCCAGCTCCCTGACGGCTGCCAGCAGCACAGAGTAAGCCCTCTGGTTCTGGGCCAGCCGGGCCTGGTTCTCCAGGCCGTGCCACAGCTCCAGGCGGGTGGCTGCGCTGGGCAGGGTCAGAGCGGTGCTGTTGGGACGGGGGGGGGAGAAGTCCTTCTCGTTGAATGGAGGGCCTAGGTAGGTCAGCTGGAGGAGATACACCAACAATCAGAAGAAGGAAGAGAAGTTTTAACAGATGAATGACACTTTATACAGCTTCAGTGCTACAGTGACGTATAACAAACCAAGTAACATAACATGGATAAGGCTGTGAACAAGCCAAAGGTTAGGATACTTCATTTCATTTGGAGGTTAAATGAGTGCTGATGTTGTTTCATTGATACTCTTTCAACAGACAGGGAAAATGTCTGTGCACAAAGTCGAGTAAAAAATGTAATGTATGTAACAAAAATCACTGTTTGGCTTTGATTCTTCTTACAAATTGGTTTGGCTAGGTTAAAGATGCACTCTTTTCTTGCTTTCTACCCACCTCTGAGGGGATTATCTAGCTCTTTGGATGCTAAATGCTGCTCTCTGTTCCCCAGTTAGTGTCTGACTATACAAATAAGGTTCTCTAAACCAAGTTGAAATCAACTGCATATCCACTTTCAACACTAGGTCTTCACGAAGAATAAATGTTTAATATCATTTTAGCTGTAGAGTGCCTTGATTTGTCAGCACTTTAAAAAGGTTTCTCGGTCCTGTTGTATTATTACCTGCCCTGCAGCGCTTCCTTCTTCTATTGTAATCTGTCTCTCAGCTTAGTATAGTCAGTTCTTATAGCTTCTTCTCATAAAACAACTTCCTGCTGCAGTCAAAAACGATACTCTGAGAGCGCTGAGAGTCAAGTTGACAGAACTCACAAGCCCCATGAATTCGACTGAAGTTGCCGATTCAGGGGATAACTCTCTGTAGGTTGACCACGAAGGACCTTTCAAATTGTCAAATAGTTTTTTACGTTTGCCACAGTGATAGCTATTCTTATAAATATTGCTGTTTATAGTTTTTATGATAACCTTTGTTGCAGTGAGACATCATACCGAAACAAAATCACATAGAAAGACTCACATATATGTCTTTGATTTCTTTGAGCTGGTACTCCAGGTACTTGGTCAGCTCGTAGGTGCTTTCAATCGAACTCCTCTCATTGGCCAGGTTGTGTGAAGAATCAAGGGCCGTCGCCAAGGCAGCAGCCAATAGCAGGACAAGCTGGTGTTGATGGACTGTGGAGACATTATAAAGTTAGTTCACACCGACAGTTTGAGGTATTTCTTTAGGGACACACATCATGGGTGTCCAAGTGATAATCAACACACCGCGCCGAGGTATTTGTAATCATAACAATGAGGTGAAATCAATCTCCGACATTATTTTCTCAGACATTTTGTGATTATTTAACTTGGATGCTTGGTTTTTAATGAATCTGATGATGTGAGAGCTCAACAGACTGAAATCACCTCCAGCTACAGTTTCCAGTCACTGCACCTTTACACTGTTTATAGTATTTCTTTTTACAATATTCTGGTTTATTTCTTTGTCTCTATGGCGATGGCCTCGTCTGTTTACATATTGCCAGGTCAGAGTCATCTGACACTGCCAATAAAGCTTTTTCCGTTTCCAATCTAATTTTAGAGGTTTCTGGCTGTCGGAGGTTTATTCTGGCTTCAAATAAAACCTCTCTTAATAGCTTCAGACAGGCAGACAAATGGCTCCTATGTTCAATGCACCAGCCGCTTTAACACACACACACACACACACACACACACACACACACACACACACACACACACACACACACACACACACACACACACACACACACACACACACACACACACACACACACACACACACACGTTCAGCACCGACATCCCACAAACAAAGACATGTGGCTTTACAATCACAAACATTAATGTGTTTGTATCAGTTGTATGTTTGCTGTGGACTTCTTGTTTAGGTTTCAGCGTGTTTGTGTAGGTGTTTTATGTTACTGTGTGAGTGTTTGTGAGAATGTTTGTAGTCTTAATTATATATGTGGATAAAATTCACATTGCTGTGAGTGTATACAATCATTTTGTAGTGTGTGTGTGTGTGTGTGTGTGTGTGTGTGTGTGTGTGTGTGTGTGAGAGAGAGGGGGGGGTGTAACACTGAGAACCTTTTAGTGCCCCTGTCTCTGGTTTCAAACAGAGAAAATTGGAGCTGAAAGGTGGTTTTCAACATTAAGGAACTTCATGTACGTCCACTTCTCTTCGTCCCATGCTTGCTGTCTCTGCACGCTTATGCTTTCAAAGCCTCTCCAGACAAATCTACAGCACTTCGCCCGAGTGCGGCACACATTTCTTTCGTTGTCTCTGCTCTCCGTCATCCTTTTCCATCCTCTCTCATCCTCTTGACACACAGACGGTAGGCAGTGATTCATGCTCGCAATTATGGGCAAAGCATGCTGCTGTTTAGCAGGAGTGAATTATGTATTGCACAATGTGTCAACTTTCTATCTGTCTTTCTCTGACTCACCTCGGCATCGCATTGCTCCAACAATGTTATCCCTTTTTCCTCTTAAAGCTAATCACACTGCACTTAAACTTGCCTTGCTTTCCCAGCATACCTTTCTCTTTCCCACTTGTCCTCCTTCTCTCAACACTCTTATCTGCCTCGGGTCAAAATAACAGCAGCCAATTAACCCCGATTAGCTCTCCTTCTCCCCTTCTGTTGCTTTTTCTTTTTTCTTTCATCTATCCATCATGACAGGCCCCACAGGATGGTTTAAACACTCACAAAACATTACCCTCACATGTTTTCGGTGGTTTTAAGAAAACAAGTTCTGACCTAAAACAGTCAACACCTTTTTTCCTCTGACTCAACCGCTTACGTATTGGTATGCACTCCCCAACAAGGGTTCGGTAGAAACCTAACGATGTTATCCACTCTATACTCAACACACACAAATGTGAAGTTTGCTGTGAAACCTAGTCTGCTTAAAAAAAGAATATGCTATAATTGCAGTGACATTTGTTGAAATATGTATTTATTTTTTGTTTTCTGTGCCTAACCCAAACATGTGAAACAGAAATCAAATCATTGGAAAACACTGACAAGTAAAGTTCATTCCTTACAAATTGCAGCAGTAAATCAAAATATCTTTTTGAACTAGCCTCACAAGCTCCGGCTTGCCGAAAAAGTTGTTCAAATTAATTAGCTTGAGTTTTAGAGACAGATTGAGTGACAGATTGGGAAACTGTTTGAAATATAAACTGGATTAAAACTGCTTGTCATCAGAGTGATAGAAAACAACCTAACAAACAACTGCTTATTTTAAAGGGAAAACCCCCCTTCTTGATTGCTGGTAACTCTTCCACGGTTGACCCTGAGTTGTCGGCTACATCAAAGCTTCTTCCCATTTTCTAAAGCACTGTAGTTGGGTCCAGGCAACTCCCACTTGCTCCCACACACACCTTGAAATCAGCCAACTAGAATAACCCCCGTCAGCCAAGCCTTTCGATCTCATCAACTGCTAAAGCCTCATCACCTGTCAGAAGCAATAAGCATCTCTCAGCGACGCGTGAACATTTGGAGCTCATCAAGCCACGGGCACCTCCCACCGTACATCCCCCATTAGCATCAAAACACTACGAAATCAACACGACATCGCTGAGTAAACAACCCTGAAGGAAAAGGACACACAGCTTGTAAAAAGGGTTGCATTCAGAAGGAATAAACAGGTATTAAGAAAAAATGAGCTTGAGACGGAGGAAGAAAAGTCTCCATGGCAAAAATCTGACGGTTCCAAACCGTTTTTCTTTTGTCTGCAGCCATATGCTCGAAGATGATTGCCAGACGTAAGAGCCTCTTGTTGTTTTTGATTGAGCGCTGACACATCTAAAAGCATCCTCCGCACAGCCGCTCGATCTCTTCTACACGTAAACTGAGATAACTCAAACCCAGAGTCATGTTGTTGTTATATAATATTACATTGAGCAACTATACACCAAAGTCGGCGTATAGCTCAACTTCAAGGGAAGCCCTGCAGGCTCGGGGCTGCGTACCTGGCAGTGGAAGCACACGCCGCAGGGCAGGGTTGCAACCAGAACATTCTCTGTGGGAGGATTGCATTACAGCAACACAGGGGTTCCCTGCAACGGCCGACCATGACCTGCCCCTGTGCACGCATGTGTGTGTGAATTTCTACATATTAAAGCACGTATTAAGGTTACACATATGCACACACAGGGGAGCTCCATTATTCACAACAGATCATATTTTTATCTATGGTTTGTTCGCTGGTGTAAAGTCAGATGTGGCACTCAGGAGTCTGGCTGCCATGTGGAGCGCAGAGCTCAACGCGAGGTTCATCGGGCGCCAGACCTCTGAGCTCGTAATATAGGTCGGAAATAAAAATAAGCACAGGGTCAGGGTGCAGAGTTGAATTTGAGGCCGCAAGGTTGTGTTCAGGGGCACAAAGAGCGTCTTAACACACTTGGCATTTGCACTCCAGACAGTGTTTTGGTAAACCAGTGACCCAGTGTTTGTGGGTGTAGCGCTGCATCCATCCAAGGACTAATATTTCATCTTTCCCAACATGCACCACGCACTTGAGGTTTTGAACAAGCACTTAAACTGAATATGGTATTGTAGGAAAACCATGTGCGAGTTAATCTCTCCGGTCTGGTCCAGGAAAAACTCGCTCCAGTGCCAGAAGAGATTGCCCTTCATTGCTCCAACCACTTGAAAGAGGTCTTAAACAGAAAAGATGTTTGAAACTGCTCCAAATTAGATGTTTATTTATACGACTTTTGTTCCAGTGCAACATTGATTAGAATGACTACATTATATTTTGATGCCATAGGTTGGGTAAGCATAAGACTTTGACAATATTTAAAATGAATCAAGCCAAATTTTGGAACAAAATGTTGAAACATAATCCAGGGTGGGTTTCTCAGAAAAGGAACAACATGCTGCAGGCTACATCCTCCCACTTTTATTATTTTATTTGATAACATTAGGCAGAGAGGAGACTAGTGTATCTAGCCAGGATTCATGCTACGTGCATGCAATTTGTCATGCTGTGAGTGGTTTCAAATGCATTTAAATTCAATGTTAGAGTCTGTAAACACATTTCTATATGTTACATTTCAATGGGCTCAACAAGTCATGGCCTGATCAACCATGGCTGGGTCGCCAGTCATGGTATGATGTTGAAAGACCCGAAACATCCGATGACCCCTGGTTACATCACTGATGATGTGTTTAGGAGCATCAAAAGATGTATTTGATCAAAAAGCAACCAACACCTAAATCTGATTTAATCTGATTCATGTGTTTTTTTTCTATCCAGACTTGATGAAATTTGATTACCATTCTGGATTTTAACAGTCTCAATTCAGTTCATAATATGAGTCCATTTTGAGGTTATTGTGATGAAAAACCTCAAGTAGCCCATTTAGGCTGATTAAATAATGGCACTTCAGGGTTTTCAGTGTGTTTTACTGAGTTTAAGATTCTACCAACACTGTGATTCCACCAAAAGGTCAAGGTTCACTTACGAATTTTAAATGCCAGTCTTCTTCAGCGACTGAACCCACCAAGTGTGGCACCGACACCTGACGACACCTCTAAATGTTTGGTTTAATGAAAAAGACTGTGGGAAGCAGTTTCAGATATTTGTATCAAAAATGTGTGTTACTTATTGTAACTTAGCCGTTTCATTGAGTTGGCTACTTTTAGTTTTCTATTAACATTTATGTAACTACATTAAGTCACATTTGTATTAAAAATGTTCTTCCATCTTCTGACTATTCTTCCATGTTTTTTTGGTGATGCAGCCAACCTGTCAGAGATGGAGCTGGAGGCTTATTGTGGCTTTGTTGACAAAAAAGACTCACACTTGTGCAGCATGCCAGGGGCAACAACTATGCACACGTCATCAGGCCGATGGACGATGGACGTTAACACGCGTTGGGTGAGGGGGGGTCTGACTTTCAGGGGTCAGGGTCGGTGTTGTGTGTCTGTGTACAGTTAAAGACAAGATTTATGTGCAGTCTGTACTGGATCAAAAGTGCATTCCTTTACTAACTCAACACACACATACACATGCATCCAGATTGTGCACTGGAGATCTGTGTACACACAGACATTATTCTGAATAAATACATATAAACATGCACACATACAAAAATAAAAAATAAACTTTTCTCATCTCTTGTCCCATGAGAATCCTTCCTCTGGAGCTTTTTCATGCTGAATACCGAATTGGTCCCCTTTGGCACGGACACAGATTGGGGTTTGCCAAAAAACATCAATGACCCAAAAACAAAGGCAAAAGAAAACAACTTGAAAAACCCAATAAAATTGTTGTTTATACCCAGAAACTCTTTAAAACTATTCCTCAATAGTCGTAAACCCCCTCTCTTTTCACCTTATAAGTCAATCCATGGCCTTAAAAAAAAAAGATTTAATATGGGGATTACAGTTGCTTTGAGCTTCTTTTGTTGCCATGTTTGGTTTCAATTTTGTTGTAGCTTCATCTGAGCCCCGCTCTCTAAATCTTTGTGAAACATCAAACCTTCATTTCAAACTCTCCTTCCTTTCTCTCCCTAATTACCGCTCCCCTCTCTTCCTTTCACTAATTGGCTCCATCTCCTTCACTCCCTCCTTCCCCTTTTTCAGACCTCCGGGTTTTAATGCAACCCCCCTCCTAATCATCTCCACCTCATGGTTTCCTCTTAAATAACCTCAAAATAAATAAAAAAAACGTGCTAATTAAATAAAGTCCATGCTCCGCCACTACTAGAAAGTAAGGAAGCAGAAGGGAAAAGTAACAACGTGATGTAATTAGTTACAGCGCTGACATCTCTGAGATATTATATACAATA